GGCACCGGTGAGAAACCCGGATTTGTTTCGAGCTCCAATACGCATATCCATTAGCTGTGACCACAAAGGATAATTTGTATCATCAAGAATAGCCGTGAGGGGAAGAGAGGAATGATCTTGGTTGATGACAATATTGGGTGGCGGTGGGGGGTTCTGAGAAGATGGTGGGTGTTGTTCAGAATCGGAGAGGGGTGGGGTTTCCATATTGGCAGATGAAGAAGAGGGGAAAAAGGGAAAAAGGATAAATTGTGGAGGTGGGGGGGGGGGGGGTGACGACGTCGTATAAGGAAATAGAAAAGGAATAAAAAATTTTGTTGACTAGGAAAGATGACGACGACGTCGTACAAGGAAAGGAATTAAATTTGGGAAGCGGTGGGTGGGTATATGATGATGGAGAGAAAAGAAAAAAAAAATCAAACCAGCTCTGGTGCCATGTCAAAATATGTACTTGCTTTCTTATTCATTCTGCACCATAGCAATGGTGTTTAAATACAGAAAAGATGATCCAAAATCAGATCAAAGATACAAAAGATCCTAACAAATTATACAGATTGCTTAAAAATCAAAACTAACTCCTATTTACAGGAGCTAACTACAACTACTAGTAAACAACAACCTTTCAAATAATTTTAAAATTAAAACTCCTATTTTTAACATGGTATTAAAGGAGCTTTGCTCAATTGGGATTTTTCTCTTTCCGATTATTGTGTTCAGAAGGCTTCTTGTGAATTAAATTTCTCAAAAGTTTTGTTGGTAGATGAAAGATGAAAGTAAATAATTTTATGAGCTCTTGATACATTTTTTTTATACAAGAGCTTATTGGAGTTGAAACATCAACAGTATATAATTTTTTTTTATCTCTTGTTAAAATCTAATTTATATTTAAAAAAGTGAGGATAGGAAGGATTTAATTTCACACCCCTTTAGTTTTTAAAGTTTTGTTTTTCTCTTGAATTTGAAATTGTTGAATGAATGGCCTAACTTTTTTTTTTTAGTAATTAATGGCGTAAATTTTAACATGGCTGTTGAATATGCTAGTAGAGGTAGCATAGGACATGCTTTCGCACTCTCAAAACACACTATCCAACGTAAAGTGCACAATAATAAGAGATAACCTCTAGACTGTCATTACCTGTAGCTTTGAATATAGTGATTTAAGAACAGAACTTAATAAATTCAATGTTAAAATAATAATAATAAACTTTTTACTTTCCTCAAAAGAATTTTAAAATATTACTAATTTTTTTTTAAACGATTTAGGTAACTCATGTGAATTACATGAGCACAGAAGTATAATTGGTTTTAATCATCCTTTATAAAGGAGGGGCCTAAGTTTAATTTTTCATATTCTATCTTTTAATGGATGCAATTTTGCATTATTTTAAGTGAAATTATCATATTTCGGTACATAATTGATGATTTTTTATATTATTTTTCTTCAACAAAATTAAGAGAAAAGAGAAAGAGAGTATTGTGAATGAGAGAACTTAGAAAATTACCAAATATGCACCAAAATATAAATTTTTTATTTAAAATAACACAAAATTGTCTCCTTTTAAAATGGCAAAAGCTTTTCTCATCTTTGAATGTATTAATTAGTACTGCAGTTAATCTAACATTACTTATCTTTAAATGAACAGCTTCCGCATTACTCAAGTGAATGTCATTTTCCTAACTAATTCTTCCTGTAGAGGCACTTGGATACTTGCCGTTAAATAGCGAAAATAGTGTTTCAATGAGAAGATTGGGTAAAAAAAAAATTAAGACAACAATTACATCACGGACAAAACAAAATATAAAAGGAAAAAAAAAATTATACAACAGCTCAGCAAGTGATACAACACCCAGCAAAGAGAAGAACTAACTAATAGTTACAATAAGTTATAATTAGACAGTTGAGTTGGTTAAAAATAAAAAAGAGAGAGTGGTTAATTAATTGATTAATTACAAACTAAGCTACTGCAGATTAACAACAAGTGGAGCTATTGTGAAATATAATAAGGAAGCATCCTTCCATTGTTTTCCATCTTGCAATTTGATTTTTTTTTTTTGTAACTGATCCTAATTATCTCTTTGAGGCGAATCAGAACCTCCGGTATCCCCACGGGTTCGACTCTTTGAGCCGCCTATGGGACTAATCCAGAGTTCGGGTGCGAGTCCAAGGATTACGGTACTTATACTCCTCCCAAGATGGTGTTGGTGGAATTCGAACCGAGGTCATCTCTCACCACTCAGTCCCCATGCTACCAAGTGAGCCACCACACTTGGCTTTGCAATTTGATTATTCATTTTGATAAGAAGGGCTTTCAGCAAGCAAACATATATAAACATATATTGTCAATTAATTAAAAAACATATATTGTCAATTAATTAAAAAATTTACGTGTTGATTTTATATTTTGATATAAAAAGGATTTAAATTTTGTTGTGGATTTTTGACTTATTTATTCATCTTTTGGATTCTGTTCACTTATCTTTTTCTTTTTAATCGTGATATTTATAAGAGGGGGAAAAATGTTTGTGCTATTCTTGAATCTTCGACCTACATCTTAATGAGAAGTCAGTTATTGATTAAAGTATATTAATTGGTTAATGGACTAATCACCTATTGTTTTATGAATAATTAAAAAAATAAAATTGTTAATATGTTAAAAAATTAATATATTTTGTTAAGAAATAATAGACTCCTCATTTACTAGTATATGGAAGGTGTGGCAAAAATAGCAAAACGGAAGAAAACAAATATGGTAACCGTGTTTTTTTTATGGCTTTAATGTTTCTAAAGTAAATGTTGATAAGTTATCTATATTAGCTCCTAAAACGACGTCGTTTTGGGTTAAAAATTTAAAAATTATAATGAAAAAGACTATTATAACCCTGAAATAAATTATAATTACAAAAATACTTTGATTTCTGTCTCAAAACAACGTCTTTTTGGGCTCACTGTAGATAAGTTATTTACATTGACCGTAAAAAAAGCGAACCCTTAAACACAAGTATGGTAACCGTGTTTTTTTATATACAAATACAAGTGAGAATTAAACACATAACCTAATACAACTTACTCAAACCTCTCACCACTAAACCACTCTTAGTGGCTTGTAACCAGTGTTTTTAAAACTGGGAACCAAGCCACTATGATTGATTTAATAGTGAGGAATTTAAGTAATTTGCATGAAGTCACATGTTCAAACCTCAGTGCTACCATTGTATTAAAAAAAAGGAAATTGGACCACTAACTGGTTTGGTCCAGTCAATTGACGGGCTATGCATATAACCCGGTTATAAACCGAGTTCAACATGTGCTAACTTGGTACTAATTTTCTGATTGAATCAGTTCTTGAAAACTATGGCAAAATATTCCACCACCAATGCACTCTTGTGATTCAAACTTGCACCTAAAGAAAGAGGGATGAAATGTTAGCGACTAAGCTAGATCAATTTGGTTATCAAATTACTTCAATTTATATATTTATTACAGGGATATGATATTAGGGAAATGTTATAGTTACTATCTTTTTTTCTTACTACTTGTTACTACCGAATCTTAACCGGTGATTTTCGTCAATCTAATGGTTATAATTTATTGTGTCACATTACACTACTAAAAAATGCTTTTTTTTCGACGGAAAAATTCCGTCGAAAATGAACTTTTCGACCGAATTATCAACGGAAATGAATCTATGGTGTATCTCTTCGTTGGAAACGAATTTTTCGACGGAATTAGCGATTTCGTCGAAAATTTTCGACAGAAAAATAAATAAAATTCCATCGAAAATAAATAAAAACCGTTAGATTGACGGAAATCAGCGGTTAAGATTTGATAATAACAAGTAGTAAGAAAAAAAGATAATAACTATAACCTCTCTCATAATATTATGCCTATCTTTTTTATGCCTATTTTACTTATTTATTTCCATACCTTTAGATCGTAATCCAAACCAATATTTATCATTTGTCTTTCCTCTTACTGTTAGTTAAGATTGTGATCGAACGATGTGAAAATGAGTAGATAAAATAGGCATGAGAAAAAAAATATACATAATATCTTATCTTTATTATATATATTTATATAAATATAATTTAACTAGTTTAATCCGTGATTCACTAGTTAAATTAATGACCTATTAATCGGATATTCTAACCGATAACCGATCCGAATTTAATAACTTTATCCTAACAACTAATTTTAAGACATATATATAGTTACGTATGAAGTCCGGAAAAGATGAAATAGGAATCTAATTCGAATAGTAGTTGTAGACCCCACGTAATCAATTATTCTAGTCCTGGTAAATAAAGTTGTGCGGACATGTATGCTTACCTCTGTTTATTCTCTTTCTTGCTTTGTAAGGTGTACACTCGATGGCTCAGGAAGAAGAAATGAAGTTATAAGTTTAGCTTACTCGTTTTTCGTGCAACGAAAATGAAAGGCAAATAACGAAAGGACCCAAAAAATATACCTAAACATATTTTTGTTTTCTTGTCTTCTACAAAATAGAAAAAAGATGCCCTACAAATTTATTAAAGATAAAAATCATCCCCATTTTTGGAAAGATATCACTCTCCTTCAGATTTTGAGATTTTGAACAAAATCCAAAGACACGTCGATCTACAAATTCAATGTTGATGCTTACGCACATCAATTTTTGTACTTGCTTCTTTTCCTTTCGATCTTATGTCACAGCTTAATTTATAACCACATGTGAATGATATATAACACCTCAACTAGCTAGCTATATATTCATCCATCTTCATGCTTCCCCTTCTACTCATAATAGTGCCTCTAGTCTCAGAATCTGGAGAAAGGGTTCCCATCCCAGGTTAGTACTGCTACATTATCATGAAATCTACGTACATATTTAGCAATTATATATATATTTTTGCTGTTCAGAGTTAAAAAAAAAAAAAAAACTTACTATTTTTTTCTTTATTATTTTTATGTCCAACAAGCGGTGAAGAGACGTGAAAAAGTTAAGGAATTCCAAAACAAAAACGTAATGGCAGCTACAAACTTAGCCACCCAATTAACAGCACTTGTTGTAGATGACAACATACTCAACAGAAAGATTCATCAAAAGCTGTTGAACAGTGTTGGAGCGAAAACACAGGGAGTGGAAAATGGCAAGGAAGCAGTTGACATTCATTTCATCAATGGACAAAGATTTGACCTAATTTTCATGGACATGGATATGCCTATCATGAATGGCATTGAGGTAAATTATAGCCTATGAAGTTGAAATCACTGTTTTTTTTAGATTTGGTTTACTATATATTAGAAGGGCAAACGTGCAGTAGTAGTAAAGTTGTTCCTCGTTAAAAGGTTACGGATTCAAATTTTAAAAATAGTCTTTTTTTTTTTGGTTTACTATATATGATTTGGTGAGAAAGAAAAGAAGAAAAGCCTGATGGCCGAGTGAAGATGTTTTGGTTAAAAATGCATCTTTATAATACTCTTGTTTTTTTTTTTTCATGTTTTTACATAGGCCACAAAGAAACTTCGCTCAATGGGTATTCGTAGCATGATTATTGGTGTGTCATCACGCTCTACAGAAGCAGAAATACGAACATTTATGGAAGCGGGGCTGGATGACTATCAAGAGAAACCCTTAACCATTGCTAAGCTTAGTTCAATCCTTGATAAGATCAACCACAATCTTACTTGAAAATGAAGATCCATGGGTGCAAGTACTTATGCTAGCAGATTTGACTTTTTTTATAATTATGTAAAGCCACTATAATTAAAGTTACTTTTTGGCTGAAGAGACGAAATAGGTGCAAGTACAATTGAAATTTACTGCGGAGAATTCCAGCCATAATTGATCTGTATGTTGTTTTGTATTTATTTTATGTGCACGAAATTTCGGTGAAATCGCGTAAATTTACGGTATATGATATTGTGTATACACAAGAATTTTAGCTAGTTATTGTGTATGTTACTAATCTATGCATGTTATTATTCCCTCTTTGTATTTAGAGAGATATTAATTTCTTTCATTTAGTAATATTTTTATTATTTCCTGTAATTTTTTTCTTATACGTTGAGGGTTTTCTTTGTTAAATCTTATATATCAGTTCATTTTTTTTTCTCAACTCTTTTTTTATTCATAACATTGATAACTAACAAATTTTATGATTCTTCTTTTATTGTCAATATGTTACACAATATAGTGAAAAACTTTAGAAAGACCTCTTATTTAATTCATCAATGAGACTTAGAGGGATCCTTGATGATTGTATTTGTGGGGGGCATAATGAAAAAAATTCCAAGGGTGCCAAGTTAAAATATATATATATATATATATATATATATATATATATATGAAAAAATGAATAAGGGACTGGACCGTCCAGTGCACTAAGTATTCCCGAAAGTACAAAGTGCACTAAATATTATAATGGTGTACTTCGGAGAGTACATAGTTCTAATATTTACTATAACTATGTAATATTATAACTATGTATTTCCGGGAGTACATAGTGAAACACACCAAATTTTATATCACTGTATACTCACTAAATCCATATATATATATACACACACACACACACACACACACACACACACACACACACACACACACACATATATATATATGAGAGATCTTTTGACTCCAGTGTAAGATTTATAAGTCTTACTCTCAATATCAATCTTTGATTTTCGTCAATTTAAAGGTTATAGTTTATTTGAAATCAACAGTAGAAATTAGGAATAAAACTTCTAAGTTTTACACCAGAGTCAAAGGATCTATATATATATAGAGAGAGAGAGGGGGGGGGGGTAAGATCCTTTGACACCAGTGTCAAATTTAAAATTTGACACCTCATATGAGAGCCTTTAGATCAAAAAAGATCAATGGTGTCACATGCTTACAAATCAGAGTCGTTGATCTTTTTTGATCTAATGACTCTCAGATGAGGTGTGAAAAATTTCACACTGGTGTCAAAGGATCCCACCTCATATATATATATATATAGGGTTCACTTTTTCTTCAGTTACTGCAGATAAGTTATCTGTAGTAAGCCCAATACGACGTCGTTTTGGGACGAAAATCATGGTATTTTTGTAATTTTAATTTATTCCAGAGTTATAATAATCTTTATATTTATAATTTTTTAAGATTTCAATATCGAAACGACGTCGATTTCAATAATCTTTATATTTATAATCTTTATATTCTAGACATAAACAGAAAAGTTTTATACTCACGCTCGTATGTTTCTGTTGGATTTGTATGCTCTCTTTCGGGCATTTATGAGGGAGATGCTCTAGAGATCAGCGGATCACGGCGCACTATAATGAATGACATAGTCAAAGCGTGAGATCTGTGCACAATGATGGGACAAAAATTCGTTCCCATCTAAGTCCATTTTGATGGCAAAATATCATTTGTTCCCTCATCTGATGAGCAACTTTTGCATTAAAAACACGTGTTTATATCTTTGTGACAAAAACACAGTGGGAGAACGGATGATGATGTAATCATTTGATAAATATAGAAAAAGTGGAACGAAATGGGAACATTAAATACACCTGCTCCACTAACTCAATTCCTTTGTACACTTTGCAGGTAACGTTGAAAAGAAGCTTCCATAAAGCATAAGAGGTACAACAATCAAGTGGGAAAAAATGTGCACGGTAGGGAATAACGAGTTCCTATTGGTTAAGAGGAAAGCAAGGCATGAGGGACTGCAGAAGAAAAGGAAAAATCTTAACAATAAGTGTCCCATCCAAGAAACTTGCGCCCCTCTGAACACTGTTCACACCGCCCCTTTTATGCAGTCAAAAAAACAACTCAATGGAAATTACAAGTTTTGCCACCCACTCTTCTGTCTATAAATAGGACGTTCCAGCACGAAGAAAAGCATCAAATTCTTTAAGAAGAGATCACTTAGTTTATTTTGTAATTTTTACATTTTAGTTGTATAGTTTTAGCAGTAGTTAAGTGACAACAACCTCTCCCCTATTCTGTATCACCAACTTGAGACTCCTCACGAGCAATAACCATATTTCTCCATTTTCACTTTGTAGTAACCTAGCTTGTTTTTGATTAATATATGTGTTATTTCTCTGTTCTTCCAATCGTTATCTCTCGACTGAATCTCGGATCTGTGGAATTTTAGTTTGGAATAATTATGTTTAAAGTATTAGCCATGGGCTAAGTTATTTGTGGGACGGAAAAACTGTGAAGCTCTAAAAAAAATTATTGGTTAAGTGTGCTATATTCATTGCGTATCAATGGAAATTGAACGCATACTGAGAAAGGAACTTCCATAAGGAAGGGATTTCAGACAGCTTAACCAGAGGGGGAAGGCAGTGTTGTTTCCAACACTGCTAGTTGCCTTAGGAATAAGGAGTCACCTCGTTCACAAAAGGTCCTGTGCTTAGTAACTGTTGGAGTCAAGGGAGCCATAGAAATATGGAAACTTGTGAGCCATTTAGTCCATGAGCTGAGGAATCAGAGTTGGCAGTGAAAAGACCTGATCAAAGCCAAAAGGGTTAAGTCCTGAGTGGAGAATATAGCTATTTAAGAATGAAACAGTGGATCCATTCCTTTTGCAAAATAAAACTTTTTTATCACTCCATATTGTTGTCTCTTAAATATTGTTATTACTATTGTTATTTTCTTTATTCAATCTTGTATCTACAAATCTCCAATGAATATTGTCGTTCCTTCTCTCATCAAGAAGGATTTCATACATAATGACGCGAGGAGCTGTTTGCTGTCAGATTGAACCTACTGTTCTTGAGGAACGTTGTTAAGACAGCAAGGAACGTTCGACCAAACAGATCAATTACTAACTTTTCTTTTCATTTTCATTCTTTTTAAAATAGTTTAAAGGCATTACTTAGAGTACTATCCTCGTGGGAACGATAATCTGGGCACTAATAGTCCCATTTATTACTTGATGCGTGCACTTGCGCACTTGTGTTGAAGTCAAGAGAACGAATGTGTTTTCTCATGGTGAACTGAAATAAGGGAACGTCCTTTATAAGAATATTTTAAGCAACCAACAGGTTCACACACCCAACACACAGTAATAGTTAAGAAAGAGAGTTTAGAATGTGTGTACATTATTAACTTAACCCTTTTATTTATGGGAAAACATTTTCTCCTTTTAAAGGAGAAATTTTTTCTCATGTTAATGACCCATAGCATAAGTGGGTCCCACAAAATAGTGGAAAGAGAAAAAAAATTCAAGGTGGGACCCACTTATGCTTTGAGTCACTAACATGAGAAAAAAATTATCCTTTAAAAGGAGAAAATGTTTTCCCTTTATTTATAGACGGGTTACCTAGCAATAGTGGAATTCTGGATCTTTTAAGAATATTGGTGGCCCGGTTCTTGATCCATTACTGCAGCATTAATCAAATAATGTTCTTTTAGCTGTTAGCCCTTTTTGAGCTTTTTATAACGTGGGTCTTTATGCATGTCCATAAAAAAAAAAATTTTAAAAAATAAGAAAACAAAAAAAAATTGAATATAGCTGAATCAAAAATTGTTTTGATAATTTTATAGTGAAGTTTGTTTATGAACTTGTAATAAGTTAATGAATCTTTACAATTATAAGACCATCATCGCAAAGTAATTTAAAATTTAAAAAATATTATGAAAGTATCATTAGTAAATTTTTATATAATTGTAATACTGCTACAACAAAATTAATAAAATTAAAAAATAATTTTTCAGAACATTTTTAAAGTATTCTTTAATTTTAATTTTAAAAACTAAAAATAGTTACTGTTTTGAGAATATTTTTACAAAATAATCATTATCAAATATTTTTTTTAATCGAAAAATTAAGAGAAAAAAATATTTTTATAAATAGAAATCAAATGTGCTTAGTTTTTAAAATCTTCTTTTGCGTTTACCAAAAAAAAAAAAAAACATCTTTTGCTAGCAGAAGATGGAAGTTGCATATTTGCGCTCTTGTATTGAAATGACACATAGGATTGGAACTTAAACAAATAAAGCTTACCTCAGGTTCAACTTGATGATGAGATTTTTTTTTAGGTCAAGATACTAGAATCAAAGAGAACTAATAAATCATAATTAATTAGTTAAGCGGTTATCTATAGAACCCATTGTAGATAAAATAAATATATAAATAGTTTGAGAAATTAGGATAACTGGACATGATCTTTAAACAAAAAAGATGATGGATATGAGAGCGGAAAAAATATTAAAAATAAGAGAGTCATAATTATTTTAAAATAAATATTGACACCACACTCTTTGATTCACTTTTTATTATTTAATAAATTTTACAGCTGAAAGCCCACTCATTATTTAACGAGGTTTATATATAGTTTCACGACTAGTCCGATTCGGAATGGGTCCTGGAATTAAGACTTTCAGTTCCCTAACATCAACTGAGCTAACATCATTATTGGTCACATAGTGTTTAATTAGTATTATTTATATATTTTTTAATTTTATTTTAGGGTTCGCTTTTTCTGCAGTTACTGCATATAAGTTATCTGCAGTAAGCCCAATATGACGTCGTTTTGGGGCGGAAATCATGGTGTATATGTAACTTTAATTTATTTCAGGGTTATAATAGTCTTTATATTTAGAATTTTTTAAGATTTCAATATCAAAACGACGTCGTTTTGGGAATAAATGCAGATAACTTATCTGCATTAACTGAAGAAACATTTTTCCCTTTATTTTAACAATCAATTATAGTATTTTTTTATTTTATTTTTTTGAAGTAGTATTATTTTGTTTAAATATATACTTAAATAGGTAAGAATTATTTGTGAACTTGCATTACTTCCCTTCGCTTCTCTCCATTTGTCCAATATCTCTAAAATCTCTCTTTCTCTCCACCTTTTTATTTTTGCCTTGTAGATTGTCGATTGCCACCTCACTCCAAAAAAGAAGCAAATGACGCCATTGAATCTAGAATTGATTGAGGGCACAACGAAAAGTAACCCTTTACAAAGGCATTTCGTCATTAATTATAAATATATGTAGGGGATTCTCTAACGTGGTGTTTGGTTGGAAGCTTTTTAAAGAATATCTATCTTTTTCAAGTATGACTTTTAGAAATATCATGTTTGTTTCAACGTTTTTCACCAAAAATCCATCTATCCAATTTATCTGGATTTATGAGAAAGATAGATATCCGCACTGTTTAGAAACCCAATTTGAAGGTGGGATTTTTTGGAAAACCGGTTATCTGGCTTTTAATGCACTGTTGATTTCATAAAGTTACCTAATTTTCCCAGTAAAGTTTTTCCCACCAAACAACTTTTTTTTACATTTTTCTACCTATCTCACTTTATCTATCTTTCCAATCATTTCTCTATCTATTTCATTTCCCTACTATTCCAAAAAAAATTACTCAACCAAACGCCCCCTAAATGCATGATGATAATACAAGGCACACTATTTAAAAAATAATAACGCACCTTTTAACAAAACAGTAGTAAAACTAATTTGGGAAAATTGTGTGTCATTTAAAAGGATGTAAAGTTGTGTCATTTTAAGAGAGAGAAAGAGATAGATAAAGGAGGAGTGAGAGTTGACAAAAAAAAATAAAGGTGTGGGTCTCACCTCTTTGTGAGAGTGAAAAGATATAAGTTGTGTCATTTAAAAGGATAAATATTTTTCCCAACTAATTAACTGTCTGATATTTATTTATTTTAAAAATTGACTAGCTATTAGAAAAGCCTGTATAACTCGAGTATTTTCATAAGTTCAATTGGCATAATTATTTATGCATAAAGTTTACATAATTAGTTAATTAATGTGATTATTATTTAACCCACAAATTAAGTATAACTCAAGTAATATTTACGGTTAAGCTCTATATCAATAATAAAGTTTAACTAATAAGTAAATACTTGTGAGGACAAAAAAAAAAAATATTTTAAAAAAATTAATTTCAAACTCAGAGCGTAGATAAATTAAACCTCATATAGCTATATAATAATTAGAGCCGGCAAAACGAGCTCAACTCGGCGGGTCAACCCGCCCCACCAGCTAAACGGGCGGGACAGGCTGAATTTTTCAACCCAGCACAAAAACGGGGCGGGGCGGGGCGGGCTAATTTTTTGACGGGTTGATGGCAGGCATAGACGGGTCAGTGTAAAATAGGCTCGGGCTGGCGGGTCAACCCGCCCAATCCGTCAAACGGGACGGGGCGGGCTGGCTCATTTTTTGACCGGGTGACAGCGGGGTACAAAAAATAATGCAGCTATTTAGTCCTCACACATATAAGTAACTTTTAAAATTCACTCAGATAATTTGATATGACTCTATTTTGTGTGGAAAAAATGAGATTCGAACGCTGAATTAGGACCAGTCTAGGAAGATACAAAAAGGTCTGCATCATAGGTCGGTAAACGGTCCTCAGTCAAGTAAGCAGTATATCCAAATCATGGACAGTCCAAGTTATGCAAATCCAGGTTAAACCCGGAACAAAAATAAATCCAAATAGATATGAAAAGATATATAATTTGTAAGGTGCTTTATTTGCGTAAATACGTAACGGTTCCCAAAATGATGAATTGAGAGCAACGATGAATTCACATTATAACACTTTTTCGTTAAAGATATCTGATTTTTTATTTAAGGTCCACGGTATCAGAGTGGTAACCTCTTACTATATATATTTTGATGACATAAAAGTTGGGGTGATGGATATCGATGGAACCGACATACTGCCCTGGATATACAAGGTGCTTTTTCCTTATTAGTTATTTTGTTTAATTGAACAATTTTCACTCATCCAAATATTAGAAAAACAAGAACAATGGATACGTATAATTACATTCTAATTTGGCTTGGATACGTAAAATTTTATATGGAAGTCTAAAATTCAAAGATCTTACCTAAAAAAGAAAAATAAAAAATGTTTTTTTAGAAAGCAATCTTCTTTAAAGCAAGCACATATGTCAAATAATCTTTTAAAGAAAAACATTTTAGTTTTGTATTTCTCAAGTTTTCAATACAAAATAATCCATTTGTGGCATAAATTTCACTTGTCATTATTGTAATTCTAAAATGAAAGAGAAGAAAACCAAAGTTGGGCTAAAGAATTTAACTAGTAAGAGATATGCAACGTGTATAATACGCGGAGAAGATCAATCAAATGAATTACCATCACCAAATAAAGTAAGAATATCTAAAACCATTTACAACCAGGACACAAAGTTGGCATGCTACTACTACCATGTTGTATGCACCAACTGTCAACTAACTGACCAAATCATTTAACATCCTCGTAAACTAAACTAAATATGAACATTTTTTTTTCCCATAGAAAAATGTTATGAATATATTTATCTGCATTATTGTACGGTAAATATATAGGCTCGATTCTATGGGCTGGGAAGAAAAATAAAGCTCAAAAAAAAGTTTTGGCCTAGTTGTTTTTCGTGCTAAAGAAAACGAAAGGGATGAGACGGAATGACCCAAAAAATATACTTTAAAATATATTGTCTGCTTGTCTTGATCAAATAGGAAAGATGCCCTAGAAGTTTATTCAAAATGGGAATCAACCCATTTTAAGAAAAATAATACACGCCTAGAGATTTTGAGATTTGAAACAAAATCTATAAGATACTTCTCCGAATCCAATACTGATGCTTACCACTCATCTTTTTCTCTTTCTTATGCTTTATTTCTCTTGTCTTCCTATTTTTTAACCACGTGGGAGGAGTATATATAGCTCAACTTGCTAGACACTTTTATCCAATATCTTTCCCCCCCATTGGTTGTTAGATAAAGAGTTATCTACCCAGGTTAGTGTTACACCATGTTATTGCAACATTTTCTTTGGCTACACATGCACACACACATATATATGTATAGTAATTACATATTTTTTATTTGTGTAGAGGAAAAAAAAAACAAGAAAATATTTGCTTTGGTATAGGGTGAAGTGAAGAACAATTGAAAGTCATGGAATCACGTCAGTTAACAGCACTTGTTGTAGATGATGACATGATGGTAAGAATAATTCATCGAAAAATGTTGAACAGTGTTGGAGTGGAAAATGAAGTGGTGGAAAATGGCAAAGAAGCTTTGGACATTCACCGCTCTGGACAAAATTTTGACCTAATTCTCATGGATATGGATATGCCTATTATGAATGGCATTGAGGTAACTATATATTACACACTAACACAATGTTACAATTAATTACATATCAATTATGCATAATCCTTGTTGTTTTATAGGGAAGAAACAATAAAAATGAAAGTTACGACAATTTAATAAGAATCTGAAATAGATTTGTTTACAATGATGTGTTTCTATACGTTTGTATTAGGCGACAAAGAAACTTCGGTCAATGGGGATTCATAGCATGATTGCTGGTGTATCAACACGCTCTGTGGAAGCACAAGTACGAGAATTTATGGAAGCAGGACTAGATGACTACCTAGAGAAGCCCTTGACCATTGCTAAACTTACTTCAATCATTCACAAGATCAACAGTATTTGACTCAGAGATTAGATGGAAGATCAACGACTATAACTATACATTTACTCCTCTAAAGTTTTTATCTAGTTATAAGTATACCTTGAAGCTTTTATTTCTTATTTATTGTTTGAGGTTGATTATTGGAGCTGTATTCACGTATTATAATAATACGACGGAAATTTTATCAGCATGTCTTCCAAATATTTGGGTGAATACATTTTTTTTCCTAATTTTATTCTGATGTAAATGCAACACTTAGGGAATATTTTTTTAATTTTTGATTAATATGTTTTTATTAATAATTATAAAAAAAATCATATGGTTTTTAATATTTTTACTGATGAAAATCAAATGATATTTTTTGTAACTATAACCAAAAAAAACTAATCAAATATTTTATTAGATGTCTCAATTACTCATGATTGTTAATTTGTTATGATTCTGAATTAGTTTTGCTTAATTTTTATGGCAAAAGTGTGATATTAAAAATTAATTCGATGAATTTACAAGTGAAAGGCTAATGTGATGTGATATGTATCAAGACTAAAATAGATATATATCTAAAAAAATCTAGATGTAGAAAGTAGGTAATGGGATCAATTAAAATTCAAAAGGAAAAATCGAAGCGAAAGTTGATGAAATTAAAAAGTGAGGAAAGATAAAATATGATATACGTATCTAAAATAAATAAAATTACATTTATACATTCATGATTTCTTTCTACTTATTCAACAAAAATTTGGACAAAATATGAGTTGTTTTGAGTTTGAAAAGACAAAAGATTACAGATAAAGTCACTTGAATTTACGTTAAATGGTAGGAGTATGGTAAATTTAGGTAAAAGTCATTCTTTGAATTATCGTAAGATAAATAATTATAACTGAAATATTCGTAATTTGATTGGAATTTAATTTTGATCCAAGTAAAAAAAGGATTTATATGAAATGGTTTTCTTATATTACTAAGAATTTAATATCTAATATAATTATAAACATAACTAAATTTAATGAGTGATGTATTAAATAATAATGTAAAAAAAATTACATTGAAAATAAATAAGAATCAAATTTAATTAAGTAATAACGGTCCAATTTTTAAAAATAAGATGCCATGAAATTTTCAAAAGTTCCATCGTTTATTAAGTAGATACTTGCAGCATTGACGTATAAAAAGTCTGCATATAAAAAGTAGTCTCTTAAACTCTTTAGTATTAATAGAGATTGTACGGTGCCAAAAAAAAGATAATAGAATTTTTTATGGAATGAACATGAATCTTGATTTTGATGATGTTCAGGATTTCACATACTGAAGATTTCTTATTTGATGATGTTCAGAATTTATTTGAGATTATTAAAAATATGGAATTCCCATCTAGGACGCGATTCTGTCAATTAATAGGAGATTACCAAAAAAAAAATAGATAATAATTATGGGATTGGCTTATCTCCTTTTATAGAAAAATTGTCAAAATTCCCGCGGACACAAAGAAACAATGGGCCTCATCATTTTAACAAAAAAAAAATAAGAAAAAGTTGAGACACAATCTACTATGTTAGTGCAGGAATAAAAATTTACATTCCTGCAGGCTACCGCATAAGAAAAAGTTTACCCAATAAGGGATCTATTCATCTTATGTTATATAAGATAATTATCTTATATAATATAAATAAGATAATGGGGTTCACTATTTTTTCTTTTTAAAAATAAAATAATGAATTCCATTACCTTGTCTTTATCACATAAAATAATTATTTTTCAAATATTATACTAGATTGTGACAATGGTCATTCATACAATACGGGTATAGTTATTTCGTCGACAATAGCCATTTAGCTTTAGGGATTAGTGTTTATTCTTTTAAAGTATATAAAATTATGTTATTTGTTTACCAAAAAAAAATTATGTTATTTTAATCAAAATTATTATATTTTATAGTGTGGGAAATAAAAATTATGATAAGAGAAAATGAAAAAAATAATAATTTAAATATTAAATAAATAATAAATAAATAATAATTTTAACTAAAATAACCATTATTTGAAAGGACAAATATTTTTTCTTTAGTTTTATTTACAGTTATCTCAGTTATATCATTTTAATTTATTTAAAATACTAAGGGCATGTTTAGAGCACCTGGTAAAGAAGATAGGATAAGATAACTTATCATATCCTACTTTTATCTCTTGTTTGGTGGGTCAATAAGATATGATTAACTTATCTTATTGTCTCATTTTATCCTATCCAATACATGATTTCTTATCTTATGGAGGGAGTTGGGTTAAGATTCAACAGGATATGATACTAATATTGGATACTCAATATATCCCCCGCTACCCAATATATCTCCATGCTACTCAATATATTTGTATTTATTGCATTATATTTTGTTTTTTCTTTCTCCGTTCTCCTTATACATAATCTTATCAGATTTTTAATCAGGTGCTCATCAAACACATGATATAGACTTATCAGTCCCATATCATATCCTACCATTATCCTATCATATCAACCAAACTAGCCCTAAAATATCTACTAGCATCACTTCTATTGCAATTGTCCAATTATCATCATCACTAACGTTATCACCTAAAATTTAAACTAAACCAATTGGTTCTGAATACTAGAGAATCGATTGGATTAGTTGAGTTTTTGTGTAAAATATAATCTAAATTATTTCGCAAATATTTCTACATAGAAGTTCTAATTTTGACAAAATAAATTTTTTTAATGCAATGAATTTTCACTTCACTCCTGATCGTTCGAAATAATGATTTGTTATGTATTATTGGCATTCTATGGAAAGTCATCCCAGAAAACCAAATCCAAATATGACCTATAAGTTAGAGGCATATATCGCCTTGGTGAGCATACTTAGGACCAAACCGAGTAAATATCCAAAAACAACACAACAGCAATTGGACTAGGATGAGCAATATCTATGGAGGCCCATAGGCCCAATTCTAAGGGTGAAGCCTCTGCACTTAGCAGCGAGCGTGTTTAGTTTGATAAAATCTGAAATCCTTCGCAAACCATCTTACCATAAATTATTTTATAAAAATTTTAAAAAAATAAAGATGTAACTTATAAATATCCTAAATATTGAAAAGTACTAATTAATACAACGCTTATCCTATAAACAGCATGGTAGCCGTTTAGAAGTGCAAAAAATTTAATGTGCTAAACATATTTTGTGCAACAACTCTTGTGACATTTAACATTTTCCATAATAATAATTGTTCTGTCATTCTTTTACTAGGAGAATTTGTTGATATGACATAAGTAGGAATTCTTGAGGCCTATTGGTTTTGTGTCTCCCTAATAGATTCTTCTGTAAAGCAGAGCATCTTCATTGATAACCACAACTTAGGCTGTTGTGGTAGAGCTTTCGAAGGACAAAAGGAAGATCCTTCAATTGGAGCTGGCATTGGGTAATTCGATTATTAGGGGGCATTTGGTTGGTGGATTTTGTGGAGAAAGATGGGAAAATTGTAAGTGGGATTGTTGGAGAACCAAGTTTGGTTGGACTGCTTTCAAAGTTGGCTATGTAAATGACTTTCCTAGTTCCCCCGTTTGTCTACCAATTTGAAATGAAAAAACCGGCGAAATAAATCCACTTCATAGTGTGGTATTTTGACTTAGCTAGCTATTTGGTGACATAGGAAAGCGCGCGATGACAGAGATGCCCTCCTTTCTTTTTTGGTGACATTCGAATAAAGGGTAGTTGATACTGATTCAAAATAATTTGAAGAGAGGGTTATTTTTGTAAATTCCAACCTTCTTTCCCATCTATATTTTCCTTACATCCAAACATAGACATTATAAATTTACTTAATTTCTCCGGTAAAATATTTTCCAACCAAACAACTTTTTTTAACATTTTCTTACCAAACTCACTTTCCACCCATTTTTCTATGTATATCATTTCCTTATTATTCATAAAATTTTCCCTCAACCAAACGCTCCCTTAGAAATCTTCACCAACATGTTGGTAATTTAATTTGACAGGGTTAAAAAAATTTCTGTTTTCTTTCTCACGTCAAGGAATAAATTTTTAGTGCATCAGATACATAAAAAATTTAATATATTTGTCTAATTATTTTATGATATGTGAACAAAAATATCATATTATATATTTTTTTAAATGATATGATATTTTTTTTTCACATGTCAGAAAATGAATGGACAAATACAATAAATTCAATATATCTTATGTATTAAAAAAAAATTCCGGGCCAAAGAGGTCAATTTTAAGTTACTTGATTGATTGGGCTAAACTACTCAGACCGGTCCACTTCACAAAGCTGTTGGTTTAACATCATATAATTGTGTTGTGGACAATCAATGGCAAAGATTCTTTTTCCATCATTTCTCTAATTGTAAATTTTAAGCGTTATTTCTGTGCCCACGAGAACCTTGACGTTGTCGTTCTGTCGGCCACATATTATCTAATCCACCTCTACGCTGGGCAGGTCTTATGTGCACATCAACGAACAAGCGTTGGCATTTATATTCGAAACATTTTGTCATGTATTTTTGGGTAACATTTATTAGTATGGGTTTTATTGACAATAAATTTAATTCATTGATAGTGTAAAAAAATATTTATACTATTGTTTATTAATATATCATATTATTTTATTACCAAAAAAAAATATATCATATTATTTTATTAAAAAAGTTTTTTTGTAATAACTACTAAAATGTCACCGTTTTAGATGACAGTCAAAATAATGAAAGTCCCGTGTTAGTTGGAATATATTTGTTAAAGGGGAATACATTTCTTAGGTTCGATGAGATAAAATTGTTTGGTATATACACAAAAAAAGTGAGTGGCATTCACTTTTTTTTCCTCTCTTTTTCTTAGTAAGTTAGTGGATCTTATTTACTTTTTTTATGTGTGAATAAAATAAAATTATGTCATGTGACATAAAAAATATATTCTCTTTATAAATTATTCAGTATCTTGTGGGAATTATAAAATCCCTCTTGTTCATGTAGCTAAACAAAAATTAGTGTCATAT